GGACGACACAAGATAAAATGAGTGATATAATTAAACACTCCGTCCATTCCCAGACATCTGATATAACTATTTAGTATTTTAAAAGTTTAAGTGATTTTGTTGGTAGCTGTTAATACTTGTTTCTATGACAGAATTCTATTGATGAGTTCCATTTTTGTTTCTAGCGTGACCAAATTATTCTCATCTTCTATTCAAAAGAACAGTCAACATAAGCAAAAAAGATAAATAACCAGTACAGTCACTCAGCGTGAACAGCGAGACTGGACTGTCACTCTGGCAGAAGTTCCATATTCTGCCCTTACAATGAGTATTTCTGTTTAAAATTGCTTTCCTTATTATTAGTCAAGACTGTGAAGACAGTCTTTTAAGGATGTCGTCTTGCTCATGCGATGCTGTGTATGGACAAATAATTGTTAAACATTTTGGGTTAGTAATTTTTTTTCCTTTGGTAACAAAACCAACAGCATTAATGGAATTTTAGTCTGTCTTATTTTCTCAATAGAAAACATAGATACCTAAAAATATTCCACAAATTCCTGAAGTTTCATCTTAAAAGAACTTTCTGCTTGTGCATTGAATCTATTTGAAACTAATATAAATTTACCATGGAACTTGTCATTACTGTCCATGGTCATATGTCAGATTATAGCTGAATTACTTAGCATAGTTTCAAGAACCATACATGAGAAATGTCTGGTTTCTTTTTAAGTTATTTAAGGTATTTGAAATGTTCCCCCAGAATCCCTCTCAGAAAGAGATTTTCTTCTTCTCCCTGTAGTGCACGTATAAGGTAATAGCAAAATAACAGAAGAGGTATCTATAAACATTTACAACTACATTTTTGTTTTCTAAAACAAATGTGTGAGTATTTAATGTACCTCTGCTCTTTTAGTCACAAAGATTTCACCTTCAGGGTGTGGGGGAATGGAAGGCAGAAAAAAGTATCTTTGAAAGGCAAGTATTTTAAGTTATGTTTATCATCAAGAGCAGTGGTTTGGGTTTATGAATTCATTGCATAATATGATGCCTAAAGCTGGTTCAAGTTTCCAGTGTGTCTGCCATAAATTGGACTGAAGTGGTCTGTTATCACACTCTTTAGTCATGTCATTATGTTTGATAGGTTTGGGGTTTGCCAATAAATGATGACAAGGTTAATGTTTGGTTATTGTGTACTATGGGCTCTCATATATAAAACCTGATCATAAGCAGCTTTAATACGTAGCTAAATATTTTTAGCTGATGTGAGAAATATGTTTGTCTTCACCCTAAGTATTTTTCTGTACCTTTTTACAAGATGAATAATTACTGAATGCTAGAGCCTGGCCAGGTTATGCTGTTACTGATCTGTTGTCTCTGTTAAAGCTAGTCTGTAATTCACCATTGTAATTAAAATCTAAATATAATATTGAAGTTGCTTAATTTCCCTTCCACTTTGACACTGTTACATGTAGGCTAGGGGTTGTTTTGCCTTTCCTGAATTAGGCTTCTACAAAAACTTGTCCCTTTGTATAAATCTTATTTGGGAGGAACATCAAAATGTGGTTAACCCATTATCTTAAAATGGCAATAAAAGACAATGCTATATGTTCACTTTAAAAATTGTCTCTATTTGAAGTGCAGAAGGTGACCTATAACTTAAACTATAAATTAAATCTTAGTAGGTCAGAGTGTGCTTACTATGGGTTCTTTTCAAAAGATGAAAGAGAAATTAAATGGTTGAGCCAGTACATACAGTGCCTGTGGATTACCGGTGGCAGTAAGGAGATTCCAGCATAAAATAGGTTTTGCCCAATGCACAGCATACAGGGAATCTTTGGTTGAGAGAAAAACAAAATGCAATTAGAGATACAGTCACTGATATCTTAAAAATATCATTTTAAAATGTTCTGGAAAACCCTAAAATAAACTCATAAAATAATTCAGCACAAACCATTTAGAAGGAAGTGTAGTTTTTAAAGTTCTCTTCATTTCAGGACATGTTTTGGCAGTGTTCTTTGTAATAAAGATGAAAAAACCTTGTTTCTAACCGAGCATTCAAAGCCTAAAGACTTGAAGGCTGCAGTCAGTTCAAGTGCTGTGTGAGACAAAAATAACAAGCTCCGAGCGTCAGGTTTTCCATTCTTGACGCACCAGGTGAATGGGTTGTTTTATGGCGCGTTTACACTGTGGTGGCAGGGCGGGCAGAGGAAGGGAGTGTGAGAGAGCGATGCGAGAGCTGAGTCAATACCCGACCTTGTTGGGTGTCTGTCAGTACTTGGAACACCAGGGCTGGCTGCGTTAGCGTTGCCAAGTATTAGCTAAGTGTGCTGCTTTGGCAGCAGAGTCTCAGAACGTACTTTTTACAAAGAGGGAGAATAAGTTCAGTTTAAAAAGAACAGAAATTGGTAAGGGCAATTATTTTGAGAGCTATTTCACCACTTACCCTGAATTTCTAGAAATTCCTAAATAGCTTTCTAGTCTGCATATTTAAAACCAAACTTGGAAGTTTTATTTGTATTTCTTGGTTATTTTTTCCTGATTTCCTTTAACATTTATTTTTCTTTTTAAGTTGCAGATAAGTGTTTTCAAAAATCTTCTCATTTTAAAAGTCCATTACAGTCTAAAATGTATCTTTTGAGTTTGAAACAGAAATACTATGGACTAAAGTGAATTCACTTCTACAGCCTTAAAATAGCAAGGTGACTTACTCATGACTGTTACTCCGAGTGTTTATGTAACTACATTGTATTTACTTTTCTATTGCATTGAGCAACTAATTACTAGTGCACCTCTCACTTCTCAGAGCACTTATATTTCTGTAGTCACCAGCAACTTTGAATACAAGCAAAAAAGCATAGTACCCTGTAGGCTGTACAGGACTCAGAAAAACTATGTATGTATTAAAAATAATTTAAAAAACCCCCATCACTAAGCAACAAACCCAGCATCTTTCTGTCTCTCCCATCTACCATCCTGAGTTTGAATTCCTTTTTCTTGCTAATTAAGGAGTTGACTGTTCTCATTGTACTCTGATTCCTTCTTCCAAGGCTCCAGTAGCCTGTTATGCAAAGAGACCTAGAGGTGGGGACTGGGGCATAAAGAGGGATTCCTGAAAAGTCAGGAGACCACATGTGTCTCCCCCTGAACCACCTCATGTTTCTCCATAAACAGTAATGCAGACCCACATTTTACATTATTTAGTTCAAGATCTGCAGTGTCATGTTGCTTTACAAGGCAGGAGATATGGTTCTCATTTCAAAGAAACTAAAATTTTGAGATGTCTTAGCTTGAGAATGACAGATAAGAAGGCGTAAAGGTGACAGTACACCCCCAGGCACCATGGGAATGTATCTGTGACATGGGAGGTTACCAGATCACTAACCTGCACTATGGGGAGACAGGTTGTGATGGCTGGGGGGATGTTGAGAAAGGAGAAGGAACTTGTGAAAAGTTCTGTCATTCATTTTATTTAGCCAAATTTTTTAATTATCTGCACCTTTTGGGAGCTTCTGTGTGCATTATAGGATGGTAAGTCTTTGACTAACTCGAGAGAAGTTCTTAATGAATATGGATGGTAGCAAACAAGATTTGTAAAGCAGCATGTTGAACAGCTAATGTTTTGGGTTTTTTTCTTTGAAAAAAGGAAACTGAGAATCGGGTAAGATAACAAATAAGAGGGGATGCACAGAGCAGTCCCATGCAGTGTCTCTGCCAGTGCTATGTCATCAGAAGTACAGAACTGTGTGTAGCTTTGTAAGGCCTGCCTGTTCAAAAGGACAGCACTACTGCGGGTTTACTACTGCAAGCACCTGTATGGCAAACACTTCACAGTGGGATAACTGCAAGGTGGATTTGAGGAACAGGCAGGTTGCTGCAGGAGGCATGCCAGTGACCCAGCTGTGGAACTGAACCTGCTGTCTTGCCATGGAAATGGAATGACAATAAAACACATCTCTAGTTGAGACTTTCAGATGTGACGCAGTTTGGGAATCTGATCACAGCCCCAGCACTTCCCGATTTTTGTAACAGCTCTCGGGTGAGACCTGGTAACCGTCTACAGGTCTAATTTGGGTGAAATCAAATGGGCACTTCAGGACACTTCCAGCTCCTCAGCAGGGTGTTGCAATCTCCCAGACAAGCCTGGCGCACGCTCAGCGTGTCAGTGCCAGCACAAAGGAGGGAGCGGGGATGATGTGGCCATCTGTATCCAGAGCAGGATGATGTGGCTGTCTGCGTGCAGGGCAGGACCGCAGCAGGCACAGTTTACATTGGTTTGCACATAGAACCACACCCAAAGGACTGAGGTGTTTTTCCTGTATACCCTCCCAAAGTAAAATGAATCAGTTCAGCTTTTAACTGCTGGCAGTTAAAAGTGAGCTCTGTAACTTTGTGCTGGAAGACAGGAGGGCATAACAAGCATATTTAGGATCTGTCAGAGGACACCAAGAAATCCGCTGCTGCTTGGCTGTTGTGAATGCCGTACAGTCGGGCTGTATCGCTGATAAAACAGCACAGGAAATTAATCAGCATATGTACCAGATCTGTTTTAGCAGGTGTGCTGTGAATGAATGTGAAAGGCTACTTTCTTAATTCTGAAGGTGCAGTTAGTTAATTAACATTAACATTTAATTTTCAGACTAAAAATGGATAGCAGCTATTTGGACAGAACTCTCTCTAGTTCTTGTGTGCTATTCTCTGACTTGGCAAGAAAAGAGGCTGTTACTAAATCAATATGAGCTATTCTGGAGAGAATAAAGTCTTTATTTTCTCTGGCACTCCATGTCCCTTTTGCATAACAATGCATGATTAATTATTCTTCTATCACTTACGAGTTGCTTGGTTCGTCTGTGGCCAGACATAGTTATTTAAACTGCTGTGATAAGCAACAGCAAGAAACTTCCTATCTCTCTTAAATATATGCTAGTTAATAAATACATTTAAATAAGTTTTATTACTGGTCTTTGTTAACTAACTTCAGAACTCTATGAAAGAAACAAACATGGCTGTATGTTTATCAACAGGCCAAGTTCTGGTAGAAATTTCAAGAACACACAAGAAACTTAATGACAGTCTAGAGGAGAGTGTAAGTTAAACAATTTCATTTTTTAATTTATTTTCCTTTTGAAATTGTAACTTTTGCCAATTTTTAATAACCCTTCATTCATTTTCTTTTAAAGTTCAAAAAGTTTCATAAAGAAATTATATCTGAACTAGAGAAGAAAACAGACCTGGATGTGAAATATATGAATGTAAGTACATTCAGTTCTAAAAGTTGTATTTTATCTACTACTAGTCAAATAATTTTTCAGAAATTGTTCCCTGACAATTAATCAGCATGTTAGGATTGAGCTTTAGATACATAAACATGGCAAAAATGTTCATGTTTGAGTTAAAAAGGGAACCAGTGCATGACTTAATAGCATTTTTAAACTAAAGTTGAGAAAGGCAATTGCCTAACTCATTTGATGTGTATTAGTGATATCCCCTAGATTATGGAAATGCTTTTAGTCACTTACCTGGTTACACAGCTGAGTGCATTATGAGATGTTTTAAATGCTTTCATTGCAGGCAACTTTAAAGAGGTACCAAACTGAACACAGAAGCAAATTAGATTCTTTAGAGAAGTCTCAGGCTGAGCTGAAAAAAATCAGAAGGAAAAGCCAAGGAGCACGAAACGTAATGAAATATGAGCATAAAGAAATGGAGGTCAGTGTATTGTCTCTTGAGATATTTGTTTCTTTCTTTATATGAGAACTGATCAACAGAAAATGTTGAGCTATTACAGGTGACATGTGACTCTGGTTTAAAACTGGCCTTCTGAAGCCTACCACAATTTCTGTATATGCAATGTTATTAGTTAATACACGTAACTCCTCTGTGAGTTGTTTGGCAACAGTTAAACTTACAATTTCAAAGAACGTGCATTTTTGGTTTCTCAAAATTGGTTTATATTGAAGGCACTCCTAGAGTGTGTATTCCAGTTGAAATTGAGCTCTGGACTCCTCTGCTGTGCATATTCAGAGACTTCTGCTTCAGTTTCTAGGTTTCATCCCTTGGCTACTACTTCATTTTTTGTATTATTTTTTTTTTAAAGTACCTCTGCAACTACACCTTTATGCAGAGGTTTACACAAGGAGTGAGCTATCCCATGCAAATTCTGTAGGAATTGGCTATGAATTAATTTCCCAAAGTAGGCAAATTCCATCTGTTACCAGTTATTTTTACCTTTCCTACTGATCTTAAAGCAGCATCGCCATCTTGAGGCGAAATAAGAAGTGGCGAGGCAAAGCAGATAAACTATTTTAAATACTAAGTCATATTCTGGTTGTCATCTATTTCTCAGAAAATACTTGCCACTGACATTTTTATTTGCACAATACTTTTCTTTTGTGTTGTATATATTTTTTCTCTATATTTTTCTATTTTTATTTTCAAAGAAAGCCTTGTTTGTAACAAGGTACAGTAAATATAAATAGTACTAGCTCCTATTTCTTACCACCTATCTTTTAACCTGCATTCATACAAGGATTAGCATTTAATCACAGTTTAGCCAAGAATCCTCATAACTTCAGACAAATACAGTATAGTCCTTTTAGTAACTCATTTTCCTCTGTCTAACATGAAGTAGAGATTCATCGTAGCTTTGGGAGAGTAAATGTAACTGCTGTGGAGCAGAGGAAGGTAATTAGTCTAATTGAACACCTGTGGCCTTAAAAGTGCTCAGCACAGTAGCTGCTTTGATGTCATATGTTTATTTAGAGGCTACAAGACTGTTTCTTGTTTTGCTTCACTTCTCCCCCATCTCACCCCCAAATAGATTACTGATTGCCTGTAATAAGAATATACATTTGCTGATGAGAACTGGGGACGTTAGGTGTGTACATGCAAAGAAAGTCTTGGAAGCAGAGCCACCATACCCCACCCTGCCTTTCCAAAAGCTTTTTTTAAGGCTTTTGGAGTTTCAGTAATTACATAGAGTATCAAGTAAAATTTGAGACTCTTCATTTTTTTTTATTTTTTTTTTTTTCTTTTTTTCCCTTAGTATTTTGAAACTGTGAGCTCTCGACAGAGTGATATTCAGAGATTTATTGCAGAAGGCTGCAGAGAAGCTCTTCTTGAAGAAAAAAGAAGATTCTGTTTTCTGGCTGACAAGCACTGCAGCTTTACCCAGCACATGCACTTCTATCACATTCAGGTCAGTGGCATGAGTGTAAACAGAAATGAAACTCCTGAAATCTAATCGTACGAGAGATCTTCAGTATCTCCTGCAGTATGTAGATCAGACTGCTGTAAATAGCTGGAATAGTACTTGGGAACACTGTAGTGCCAGACAAGTGGTGAGATTAGTTCATAGAAAAGGTTTACAATGCAGTATTCTCTTCAGAGTATTGTAGGAACAATAAAGGGTCGCTGTGAATTTTTAAAAATTATGTATTAACTCAAAAATGTACAGACTGATCAGGTATTTTCAGTATCTGACCCTGAAAAAGGACCGCTTCTTTCTACAACTTATTGTTTCAAAGAGGTATTACTTACAAAAGTATTTGAAAATACTTCCATTTTGCTGATGTTCTCATTTTGGTATAATGAAAATTAACAAGTAAGTGTGTGCAATTTTATGAAAAAGCCTGTCATTGACAAGTACCTTTTAAACTTGGATGCAGTGTGCAGAATTCCTAAAATCCAAGCTGCCTGGGTGGCAGGAAATCTGCAGCGATGCCACCAAAGTGCCTGAAAAAGTCAGAATGATGATAGATGAAATACGGACACCGGGTTCCACTCCAATATCAGGAACTCCACAGCCTTCACCAATGATAGAGAGAAATACCACGGTATGTTGTTCTTTCATGGTTAAAGGTTCTCTCTCTTAAAAGGCATCACAGTGGCTTTACTAGCTTCTTTTGTACCTAAGCATTTGGGATTGAGTCTATAACGCACCTCAGGTGGAATATACTGGAGTTGGGTATGAAAGCAAAATCATTAAGCTGTAGCTGTGCTACTGGAAAAATACAGCGCAGTAGGCAGAAGCACATACCCAAACAAGGGTCAGTTTTCAGTTGAGTGCCTAGAGACTTTTTGTGCAGAGCCCAGCCTCAGGACTAACCATTCCATTTCCCATGTTCTTATCTGTAAGTAATAGTAATTACATACTCAATAGTTCAAAGTTAAACAAAATGTTATTTTCTATTTTCTTTCCTTCTTCCCTCCACGATTCATATTGGTGTATTTGAGTACAGGTGAAATTCTAAATTCTACCTAATTGTATGTTGTGTCACCATTAGTTGTTGACTTTCTGATTTATATTAGTGAACTTCTATAAATAATCTAGTGATTATCTAGGTGTAACTGTGCTATTTGTGGGGAAAAAAGGCTATCGTAGCATTCCCACTGGCAAACGTTTATCAAGGGACAGAAGCCTCTTACAAACTGTTGTATCAGCAATTTCACAGGAACACAAGGACTTTCTGACAGATCTAAGTTTGTATCATTAGGGAATATTTAAGCATTGCCTTATAGAATTTAATGTTGCAAATAAATCATCACTGTCTCCTCAGTATTGTGATACTGTTGTTTTTGTGACTCTAGATTGGAAATGATTTTTATCCTCACCATGAAAATGCATCAAAGGTGCCCCCTGCTCCTTCAGGTAGAGCATACACTAGTCCACTAGTTGATATGTTTAACAACCCTGCCACGGTTCCAAAGACATCTTCTGAAAAACTAAATAATTCAGCAGGTGAGTGTCACTTTGTTGCAAACTATGTAAGTGGAAACCACATACTATAGTGTTCAAAATTATCTTAGGACTTCTTGATGACTATGAGGATGTGAATTCCAGGATGTATACAGGAGTACAAAATGGTCTTTACAAGGTATTTATATAAGTTACCTAACAGGAGAAATGTGTTGTAAGAAGAGAAGAATTGTCTGCAGTAAAATGCAGGTCAAGATGGGTAGATTGATTCTATTTTAGTAACTTTTTGTGTGTCTCTGATTAACCCACCTTAACTGCTCTTATGACTTCCAATCTTATTGGAAGAATACATTCCATAATTGTGAACATCTGAGTGATTATTTCAGTGCACATAAATAAACTACGATGACAGTCTCACTTTGGTTTCCTTTAAGGGCACGTAGCAGTTAGGGAAGAATGCACATGGGAGAAAATCAGCACAGTCTTGTATTTCTTTCCTGAAATGTAAAATCCTGTTAAGTTTTCTAAGTTTCTAATATATTCATTTTTTTGCTTTCACTGCTATAGGGAAGGAAGGGAAAGAACTAAGCCTAGATCACAACATAAGAAATGCAGAACTCTGCATTGCAAAATAGCAATTCCAGCATTTCTTCCTTAAAATGCATGTACAATATATTGTACTGGTCAAATAACATACAATTTTGAGATGTCCTTTAAGTTGCTTTCTGGTAAACATCTGGTGTCTGCAAAGTGCCAAGTATCTGCAACTCTCATTGATTCAGGTGAAGTGGAGTGCTGGGCACATCTGAAAATGAAATCTTGGACTGTATACACAGTTACATTTTTTAAAATGGAAAATTTTCAGAGGTCTTTTATGGCTGTGAACGTTTAACATTTTTCATGCCAAAAGAAGAAAGAAGTAGCAAGTTGAAACTTCTATAACTTATGTCTGTTGGTTCAGCCTTATTGTGATGGAGGGGATGTGTGCTAAATGCACATGTTATTAAGAAACACTGGCAGGTAACTGAGAGGTGTCTTTGAGTGGAACCCGAAACAGTACAAAGTCTCAGAACTTGATTTGCACTTGAGTATTCCTTTATCTATGGGGGTTTGGTTGGGTTCTTTTCAGACTACTAATTGTATTGAATTTTGTTTGTGTGTAGCTAATCTTGATTTTTTTTTTTTTTTTTGCTTTTGCTTTTTTCAGAGAATTCAGATGATGCCAGTTTATCACGTTCAACTTCTGTTGCCACAGGACTAAATATAATGAAAAGGCAAAAAGTAAAGACAATCTTCCCCCATACTGCTGGAAATAACAAGACGTTGCTTAGCTTTGCACAGGGGGATATCATCACACTTCTTGTAGCTGAAGAAAAGGATGGCTGGCTTTATGGAGAACATGACACAACTAAAGTGTAAGATAATCAATATATTACCCAATTTAAATATGAAGAAAAAACATGTCTCATCAGACTTTGTTAGCAGATATTAGTAAATGGTTTTCCACTTTTTTGTTGGCTGTCACCATCTGGGGACTTGAGGTCCTTCTGTAAGGTAAATCACTGCATTATTTTAGGGAGATTTTGTACACTAATTTGGTATCATCAGAAACTGGGTCTTTAAAAGTTAAATCTCAGTTCATTGAGTGTACTCTTTTGTCCACTGTTGTCTTTTGAAAGATCTTTCCTATTTTATATAATATGAAACTGGAAAACTTTCCCATTACAGAAAAGGATGGTTTCCATCATCGTATACCAGACCACTAGAAGAACCAGTGGAAGAAAAAGTATTTGTCCCAGTGCCAAGGTAAGATTTTGAGTGGGACTTGCAGAAATGCCCAAATCTTCTCTAACATTTATTAAAAATATTCTTTTTCTGCTCACGTTTCTTTGTTGTTCAGTAACATACACAGTAAATACTTTCTAACAGTCTGTAGTATGATGCCTTGATTACATTAACGTGTTTTAATGGTTACACAGAAACCCAAGAACTAGCTTCACCCTAACTTTAATTTAGAATCCCCCTGACTTCAATGGGAGTGTACACCTTTGTTAACTTCCAGCTTACGCACTTTTGTGCTTTCCTGGGGCTAAAGGGTAAGTGAGAGAGATGTATCACAGGAACTGAAAATGCTACTTGTTGGGTTCTGTCTTGCAGCCCTGCACCAATAAGAAGTATTAGTTCTGTAAATCTTGTGGAGAAAGGTGATGTTGTCCTCCCACCACCAGACTATTTGGGGTCTTTGCAAACAGACAAAATGGAGTCTTCCAAAGGTACTACTGCTAAAACACCCACTGACAGACCAGAAAACGCAGGTCCGGTAAGTAATCAATCCCATGAATCCAGATGTTCTGCCCTGCTTACTTTTGTCAGCTGAGATCTTAACTGAGGCCCTGGAGTATTCTCCCTTAGCTACTTGTACTTGACTTCAGCAGCCCTTCACTGCAGCTGTCTTCAGGAGTAGCACGTTTTTTTGGCATTTCAATCATCTGTAGTAATAGGAAGGGAGAAGAATCGTTCAGGGATATAACTAAGAGTACTACGAGACTTACTCTGCGTAGGACACTTCTCAGGAAATTAAATCTCTGAAATGTGAAAAGAAATCCTCACAGAAAGTAGTATAAATCCATCATCTTAAGTGATTTTACAGCTGTAGTGGGACAGGGGATTTAAAGCAGCAGAAACTCTGTATTCAGGAATGCTTTACACAACCCCATGAAAGTTAGTGTGTTTTTTGGGGATGTCACTGAGGGATATATGTATCAACTAATGTCTATATTCAGCAAAACCACAGCTGAGTGGAAATACATTTTTAGGAATAGCTAATGCTATATAAAACTAATATTTCTGCTGTAAATTCAGTATTCAAACAGTGATTCAAAATTAAGACTAATCAAATTAAGCAATTACTAGTCTCTTTCTTGCTGCTTGTTTAGAATGAATCAGAATCGTAGAATGGTCTGGGTTGGAAGGGACCTTAAATCTCATCCAGTTCCAACCCCCCTGCTATGAGCAGGGACACCTTCCACTAGATCAGGTTGCTCAAAGTCTCAAATATATATATATTTAAATATAGCATATATGAATCCACATTCAAGTAAGTGGCTTTATTTCTCAGTAATGAACCTTGCTGTGTAGGAAGTATATGTGCAGTGATGTACTGTTTCTAGGACAACATTTTTCTATGAGGAATAAAGCTTTTACAATGCATAAAGTGAGTAAAAAGAAATAAAAGCTAAATTTTAGTCTTCAGTCACTTTCAAATCAAGTATCTGGGGACTTCTAAAGTGATTATGAAGACAAGCATCTATATTTTGACACACTGTGGTTTTTATTTTTGGACAAAGAAGCAATGAGCCTTAACAATGATGTAATGTCAGAGTTATACGTTGGTTCATTTATTCTACGGCTAACTGTTAGGACCTGTGGGATCAACAAGTCCTTCAAATGTAATTGTGTTCACAGTAGTTAAAAGATCTATCAGCCTGTAGAAGCTGCCAAGCAAGCAGTACAGCGAGTTCTTTGCCCTGTGACAAGGAAAAGGTGACTTACTGTAGAGCTTTAAACTTACTGAATCTGTTCAACTGTCTCAGTATCACTGTCCTGTGCGGCTGTCTTTAGTACGGCCAACTGTCTTCAGCCGCTTCTCAAGAGTAGTCGCCTTAAAGGTTGTTTTGTTTGTTCTGTGGCATTAGTCCAGGGGGTTTAGGAATAAACTTAAGGCTTGTGGACTAACATTCTTGTTGAACCGAAAAAACCAAGAACAGCAGATCATTTAGCTGACAGGCTAGGGCAGCATTCTAGTTAGAACAGTCTATTCTCTTTGGAGGCCAGAACAGGCTTTTAGCCTCTCAGGAGGGGAAAACAAATACGTTTTTTGAGATTCTAAATTTCCACAGTAAAAGCAAGATTAAAAAAAATACATTAGGAATTCTGGGGTATAAAATAATGACTACCCTTTTGAGGTACCCTGTAGCTCATAGCAGCTACCTTTTTCCTGTGGCCCCATGATTGTTCTTACCTGTTACCATACAAAATAAGGAAGCAAACTGCAGAGGAGAGTTGTTGCACTTGCACCCAAGTGTTTTGCTCCAAAGACCATTTACTTTTGTTCTTTTGGAAAGGTGCAGAGCTTCCTTGTCTTCCCCACTGCTGTGCAAGTCACCAACCCCCACACCACCGTAAGGCTTTGGAAATAAGCTCAGCAGTGTAAGGCTGGGCTGTAGATTCACAGACTTTCCATACATGTAAAACAGTGGGGTTACAGTGTCTTTTGTGCAGAAGCAGGAAATGATTCACTGAGGCATCTTATTTTTGTTTCAGAATACACATAAAAAATAGCTCAAGATTTCAAGGAAGAAAGATGAGGAATAGTTCTTGCAAGTTAAATTGTTCATGCTGGGTTATATAGGACAGTACTACACAGAACAGTATCAACTAAGAACGACTCAGTAGTTGATGGAGCTTTGATAAGGGTTGGTGTTCAGTAAGAAGTAGCATGTAATTCATTCTAATTAATTTTAGGGGCTAATGCTATTTATGACTGATGTACATGAGTAATTTCATGGGAATTACAAGTCAAGCACATGCTTAAGAACCCTTCTCTGCATTACATCCTGACTAAACAGATTTCTTCACCTGCATCATGGTGTCACGGATATGGTAGCCAGGAACTACTGGTACAGCAGTACACCTGGAAGGGACAGGCTTACAGGCCCTTGTTCAGTGACATCTTAGTATTAAAAACAAAATGCCCATATAGACTGAACAACTAGTACAAGTCAACCTGCTACATAAAAGGTGACTGCATGTTCCTGCTTCTACATGCAAGAACGTATATTCAAATCTGTCACTTTTAACTTCAGCGTAGGAGCCAGTAGAAGCAATGCAATTAGTTTGCAGTTTGAAATACATCATTAAGTATGATGATTACTAAAAGTTGGGGGGGAGAATAGAAATGAAGTGTTTGCACAAACTTCCATGTAGCGTAACAGGCTTGCGAAGGTGATACTTGGCAAGAGTTTTCCATTTTATCACACCTGAAACACTGCGTCCTGCAGTCGCGCTGTGACAGAGCCACACTGCCACCTTTTGGGTTAGCTTCACCTCAGGAGAATGAAGTACAACCAGCACAAGAGGACGGTGCAGACTGTACCTATAATAACAAGTCACTGAGAAGTGGCAGTTTCATTATAATAATTTTCCCCCTCCACAGTTCAACTCAACTACACAATAATTCTTCTCAGTGGTTAAATATTTTAGCCTGCTTGGATGACAGTGAGATCATCTGTTGCATGTTTTTGTAAATCTATGTAAATATCTTTTTTCTTTTACAGAAACCCGATATGAATGGCATTATAAAACCACCTTTTCTGAGGTATATTTTTTTAAAGTTTTTCCATTAATTTAGTTGTGTTGATTTTTATATTGGCTTATATTATTGTATTGATTGTGAAGGGAAATAAGGATGTTTTCCCTAAATTACTCTGTGACCTTTCCTTGGGACTGGTAAAACTTATGACTAAAACTGGTTGCACTTTTCTCAAGAGTAGCATCAGTTGGCATACAACTCTCAGAAAAATAAGTGTTTCTGCAGCAGTCTAACACGGAGTAAGACTTAAACTATGTCTTTGAGGGTTAAAAACAAAAATATTTGAAGACTGGGAGCTGCTTAAAAATGTCCAGATCTAACTGGGCATTAACGTCCCAAATTTTGGATCACAGCAAAGTGACTCTTCATACGTAAGCTCGTTTAGAAAATTCAAGTTAAACTAAGAGTTGCACATAATCCTTTAGTCTAAAAACATACCTTAGTCTTCAATCAACTTGGATGCAGAAACTGCATGGTGTAAATTTGGTTCTGTATTGCAGCAAGCCTTCTAGTAACTTTGTGCATTTCTTTTCAGCGGAGAAAATCCTTTTGCAACTGTGAAACTCAGACCAACAGTAACAAATGACAGATCAGCACCAATTATTCGATGAATATACAGCCCATAAACATGTACTTCCTCCTTATAAACATCATTTTCAGTGATGACAATTACTATCTAAACTTGTTCTAAAAAAATTATTTAAATGTAATTACTGTACAATAGAAGCATACTGGAATGGATTTCTGATTTTTTTTTTTAACTATACTTTCTAATGAGTTAATTGCTTTGGGCTAATGTTTAAGCACTTTGGCTTGATTTTACAGTATGCCTTTTTTGTAGTAAGAATTGTGAAAATACTAGAGATTTTGCATACTCTAGTCACCAGTGTAACTAATAGCTCACAAATCTGAATCTCTGGCATTCATTATTTGGACACTGCAATGGTAAGTTCTAGAGTACAAGCCTGCATATGCCACTTACTCTTTTTTTTTTTAAACAAACCAATGTACCAACTGCCTTATTCCAGAATAGAGAACTGCCTGTATAAAGTGATTATACATTATTTTGTCTAAGAAAGACAGCCTAGGTTATAAATAAATATTTATCCTTTAAGAATAGACAATTTGTAATGCTTTGCTTAATGTTCAGATACAAATTTTCAAGTGTTAACACAAAGCTCTTTTAAGTCTAATGTTGTACTGTCAACACATTCTGCAATGGTAATTTTTTCTTTAAAACACACTGTCAAACTTTGATCTTATAAAAAGTCATAATAAAACAGTGCCATGATTTTTTTTTCCTCAAGTGCTAATATAAAAAGCTACCTTTCGAAGTTGTTCCATTGCTGCAGCCTTCCACTAAAGAAAAAAAGGTTAAGTTTGAAACATTTTTGTTAAGGAGCCCAGCACTGGCAGTCTGAGTTAAGTGAGATACAGCTTTAACTTCACTCCCAAGCAGAGCTGTACCCTTTGTTACCTCAGGCCCCGATTTTCTAAATCCATGGAAGCCAGCCTGTCTGACTTTTCCTAATCATACCAGAAATTAGCCTAGAACGGTAGAAAGTGACCCTCACTCTGCATCAGCATTTGGTGCCTCATCACTGTACAGTTCAGGTGCTATTTTCCACCTGCCATATGAAGTCTGTCATGACTACTGCCAGTGATTAATCCTTACTCTAAATCTTTCTATTTTACATATGTACATGGATATGAGTTTTTTTGTGCTTCTAAACAGTGAATTCAAGTCATGTGAAATGCCTTTCAGTTATTTAATATCAAAAAATAGTGTATGAGCATGTGAGGGCAGCAGAGGTAGAGTCCACTCCTTCCACCTCCTCCTCCTCCTCTCACACTGCCTTTTAAATTCCAGGCTGAGGACACTTCATTTGCTATGGAGCCTTGCAAAAATACCAGTTATCCCATTTTGAAACACCAACTTTTCAGAAGTGTAACCTGGCCACTGCAGCCCTTGGAGGTCATGTGTGTCCCTATAAGTAAAACATTCACTAATTAAAATAAGGCTCTTACTGTTTGTTTTCACTCGTGCCTTCAGAAGAAAGAGAAGGTCAATTAGCAGCGTGGCAGCACACACAGCACTTACACCACTTTCCTGAGAGGCATCTGTGGTGCTTAAATGAGTATAGCCCTAAACTGTCTCCTTTTTTTTCTTTTAAATAAGGATTCTTTATAATAGTTATCCTTCTTTGTAGCTAGGATTACTAACTCTACTTCCAGACTACATGTTATTAGACACATTAGTCCCATACTTAATAATCCAGCCACAAATTGAGGATTGCAAAAGGAAAAGCAGTTTTATTTAGTTGTCAACAAGTGCCACTAAACATGGAAAACAATTTGGGTTTTCATGTTTTGCAATGCACATGCTCATAAAAGATTAAGTTTAAATTACATGCAAGAGACTAAATTTCTTCACACTTTACAAAACAGGTCTGAAGCAAGTAAAATGATTGTACATGACATTTACATTAGAAAGAGTATGCTAACAGTTGTAGCTTCCATAAGCACATTCACATTCATCCCTTAGCCAAAAGCTGCCCCACAATTAGGGCATCTTCTCTGCCTTAGTGCAAGACAGAACAGAATCCCAATTGGAAAGAATACAATGGCACACAAAACACCAAGGCAGGTGAAGGTGTCCTCCAACACGCCAACCCTGTAAAAATGGAAAACAGACTTGGTCAAGGACAACCATCCAGTTTGCCCCAAAGTTACCACTTTGCAATGTGGCAGTCACTAAAAAACACACCATTTAATACAGCAAGATAAAGTACAGAGAGGTTTTGGTTGGGTTTTGGTTGTTTGTTCCCCCCCCCCCTTTAAAGAAGCTTTTCTTTTCATAGCTTGCAGCAGAAGGTTTCAAATTATACCACTTAACAAAAAACACAAAATTTGCAGATGATCAGACTGTAGATAAGAAATCTAAAATGTGTAATTCAAACTAGATGTTTAGTTCCAGACATCAACCGTTTCTCTATCACTGAAATCCAGGACTGGTACTTAGAACAAAACACAGCCACCGCATACAGGTTAATGCCAGTACACTGCAGCACACACACAGGTGCAGCACCTGCTGTACAGGGGGGACAAGGCACAGCACTCTCACTTCAGAAAGCTTTAACTTGAAAACCTGGTCCTCTGCAGCCACCTCTGGTCCCTAAAGAATCTGGAAGTCATGGCTCTTCTGTATTCTTGCATCCTAGCTCAACCAGCCATGCCAAGTAACTACACAGGAATTAAATATCACACATGGAGCTCACAGACTGTAAGCCAGTATCAAGCTTTATTCCTTGACAGCCCCTCTTAGGGGCAAGTTTTTCTGATAGGTGAAGATACAGTTTTCTAGAACTAAACTTTAGTGTCACTAAAGTTTACTGGCATAAAACCAAAAAGAAGCCAGCTTTTAACATAGCTACTGACTCTTCTGAAATGATACCTGTACCAGTGTTTAACGTTAGACTGGTTATTGTACACCAAACAACTCCATTTCTCAGCTTTTTAGGTCTTTTACAACAGGCAGCAGTCACACTTGTGGCATATGCTTTGCCTACCTCGTTTCCACAATTAGCCTGCGGTGAACCCTCTCAGTTCATTCAGCCTCAAGTCTCCCACACTATATGTGCACCAGAGCTCTTTCAGAAAAAAATAATCCTTGTTTTCTGAGTATTCTGATCTGATGATTTGGTGCTTTTTCTCAGTTTCTTTGTAAGAGAAGAACGCTGGTTAATGGCTTCTGGTGAAACACCAAGTTCATGATTTCACTAAGCATGTTAAACCATTGCAGACAGTGAGATGAAAAGGGGTTCATTTCAGTCTGTTACCTCAAATTAATACACAACTTGGCAGTGCCTAGTTCCTGCAGTTCCTGCACATTCTCTTGGATGTGCTGGCACATCTTTCTTCAGAGATCTTTCTTGAAAGCACAAGTCAATGTAATTAACATGCACAGAGCATTTAGAGCTCTGACCAATTTAGCAGGGTAAGAAGGACTTAAACTCTAACTGTAGGTTTACAGTGAAAGAGCACTTCAAATATCAGCACTTTGCTGTGGATGGTGCCCATTAAATAAGCATTTACAGGACTATGCTACCTACTCAGACTTCCTAAGTCACCAGAACAGCTCTGAGGTACAGCACTACTGTTGTAAATTGTTTAACAGGTTTATTTCCTGAAGCTAGAAAAGTCCAAAGGCCAAACATGCATTACTTAAAATAACCCTCCATAGGTATTCCTGGTTTCTACTTCCAAAAACTGATGTCTCTTTAGAAGGGCAGGAGAACCTCCTACTGATGTCATTTGGCTCCAGCTGAGGCCAGACTGAATGACCACCCTACATGGGAAATCCTCTTTTGGCACAGTTCTGTGACAGCAGAAATTTACCTGAACAGACTTCTCATCTCAGCCCCTGACTTCTTTCTCAAGTGCTGCATCTGAACATCCCCCAAAATGAAGATAAGTCTGAATACTCAGTACTAAGAAATGTGAGCAGCTGTACTAAACAGTCGAAATTTGGAGTTTAACAAAACACTTAGACAAGATGTGTCCTCTTAGATTTCCTAGTACAGAAACAGAGCTAAGTGACCTTGAAATCCATGCTACAAGCAAGGTGCCAAGGCCAACAAGTTGTCAGTTCCCTACAGAGCAGTCACAGACAACCTATTGCACACAGAAAGAGAGCAAAGGAAGATGCAGATTCAGAGACCATTTCCTTACTGCAGTTGGCTAAAGAATTACAACTTGATTAAACTTCAGAACCATTCTCCTTCCCTCAACAATCCTAAGTCCCAGGCTTTTCAGAGTCTTTATATTCTGCTGTTTATGCAACTTAATGTTCAGCTTAAGCCTTCAACAATCAGTCCCCCTCCTTTTGATGAACTTACTTTATTTCTGTTTATGCAGTTGCTGTGATAGAAGTCAACTTTATATTTGGTATAAAGGCACTGTCAGGGTACAGCTGACCCCAGCAGCAGTTTTATAGTTCTGTATCTTCAAATAACAGCTCTTTAAGGCAACAAGTTAAAAGATGCAGACTAATAGGATTGTCTCTGTGATGCAGCTTTCCAAAGCTCTCTTCTGCAGGTCAGGTTTGGCAACACCCACATCTGTCCAGCTGACTCTGCAAGCGTTTCTTGTGGGAATGATGAGCAGTTTTGTGTGCCATCAGCTCGCCTCTATACTGCTGCTGGCTGGATGACAAGTGACAAGTACGTCCAGTGGGTTTAGGAGGGTCAGTGAGAAAGGCGTCACTACCCCCCACCTGGCAGGCAACACATCTCCACCTCTGCAGCAGAGCGCTGACGAATTACACTACGTGCCAGCAGACAAGAAGGAGCCAGGGCACTTCCACTGCAAAGCAGAAACTCACCCTTGTGTTGGCACATCAGTCACTGACTCACAGCACTTGCCCTGCATCACCTCAAGCAGCACTCAAAGAAACAACAGGCACTAGGATTTGCTCAGCTTGGTTCATATTCCTTTTTAGTCTGAGTCTGCTGTTCTCAGAATATCACAGAATATTAGGGATTGGAAGGGACCTCAAAAGATCATCTAGTTCTGCTACAAAGAACTTCAGCCCAGGACTCCCGTCAGCCCA